AAGGCAACAGTCTACGAGGGTACGGTTCAAAGAATACAGACCTCATTCTTTGGCCACAGTGAAATTGAGTTAGAAACCAATAAGAAGAAATATAAATTTTCAAAACCCGTAGGTTTGGAGTTAAAAAGAAAACATATCAAAACAAGTCAGAGGACAAAGAATACATACAAATAGAAAGTAGGAAATATATAAAACTGAGTGACAATGAGAATAACCATATCAAAACTCATGGGATTCAGCTGTCATAGTTAAAGTGAAATGTATATCATTTAGTTCTATATTTAAAAGGAAAGACTGAAAATTAGTGGCCTATACCTGTAACTTGAGAAGTTAGAAAAAGTATGGAAGAAATTGCTGGTTCGATAATGCAAACAACTTAAAATTGCCTTGACTTACAATTGCCGAAAGAGCTTTCATATACGTTATCTCATTTTATCCATTTATAATAATTTATTTATAGTCCTTTGGTCATGAAAACCCAATGAGTAGTTACAGCAGGTATTATTAAAGCCAATTTTAGAGATAATGGTATTGAGGTTCAGAGAGTTTAGTGACTTATTGAATAACACATGGCTTGTAAATAAGAGTAGTGGTTCAAAACAAGGTTTATGGATGGAAGTCTGGAGATCATTTCACTATATTATAATGATAGCTTATATTATGAGAGAGTATATCACATGGATGGATATATGATGACCACTGTTGAACAGGTATTTGGTTTTCTTTTCATCTCCTAGAACTGCCTACCCCATGCTGTGATCCACATGATTGAAGAGGTGGCTCCAAGCAACTGTGTTTCTGCTCTGTGGCCTCATATTTACCCCAATCTGAAATAGTTGATTTATTAAAATTAATCTGGTCTATGAACCATTCTAGGCCTAAAAGAATGCCTTTCCTAGGAATTTGGGATTAGGACAACGAGACATGATTCTGACTCTTAGGTTTTTCTGGAACTATCACATATAACCTCAGAAAATGTACAGTGAGTCTCTTCTGTTGGCCATGTGAACCAGAGGAAAAGATTCGGCATATGTAACACTGTGCCTTTAAGCTTAAGAGAGAGTTCTAGGAAACTGCCATTGTATCACACTGTATAAGCTACTCTTACGATCTTCAGAAAGAAACTACAAGTTATTCAGCGCTAACAAGAAATGAGCTATCACACCATGAAAACACATGGAGGAAACTAAAATGCATGTTACTCAATGAAAGAGTCAATCTGAAAAGGTCACATGCTGTATGATTCCAATTATATGACATTCTAGAAAGGCAAAACTATGGAGACAGTAAAAAGATCCGTGGTTGCCAAGGGTTAGGGTAGGGGATGGGATGAATAGGTGGAGCACAGAGGATTTTTAAGGCAGTGAAAATACTCTGACTTTATAATTATGGATGCATTCATTAAACATTTATTCAGATACATAGAATGTCCACCACCAAAAGTGAAGCGTTAGGTAAATTATGGACTTTGAGTGATAATGATGTGGCAGTGTAGGGTCATCAATTGTAACAAATGCACCACTCTGGTGGGGGAAGTTGATAATGGGGGCAGCTGTGTATGAGATCCCCTGAGCATGAGATCTCATATACTTCCTAAGAGGTATATAGGAAATCTGTGTATCTTCCTTTCAAATTTTCAGGGAACTTAAAATTGCTCTAAAAATATAAAGTTTGCAGCGGCCAGTTAGCTCAGTTGGTTAGAGCACAGTGCTGATAACACCAAGGTTGCCGGTTTGATCCCCACATGGGCCACTGAGCTGCGCCCTCCACAACTAGACTGAAACAACTACTTGACTTGGAGCTGATGGGTCCTGGAAAAACACACTGTTCCCCCCCCCCCAAAAAAAATCTAAATAGATCAAATTTTTAAAAAAGAAACTGTAAGAGAGCGAGTCATGCTCGTTATCTTATCTGTCCCTTTAGAACCGCCCTTCACCTTTCTCTACCCAGCTCTGTGCCATGGTAGGCTGACCCATATGGACTGCATCAGCGATTTCCCTTGACCTTCGGTGTCTGGTTGGGATCTGACAATGAGAAAAAGTAGATGGGCAGGAGAAAAATGAGGTCAGGGCTTTTATGCCCATGCTTCACACTCTGTTGGGTAACCATGGTTGAGTCCCTCAGTGGAAGCCCACGGCTCCTGCCAGTCAGCCCTCGCCATATATCTACCTACTGGGTTTTCATAACTGGTCCCTCCATTTGTACGTTTAGGTCTAACGGTCATAAGCCCTACCTATTGTTGTTAGTCCTGGGATACCACCTTCCCCATCACTGGCTTTCGTAAACCCTGAGCACACCTGTATTTAATAGTCCCTTTACCGCTTTATTTTCAAATCATTCATTTTCACCATCCCATTGATGTCTTGCCAGGGTGCTGAAAGATTTTTTTTTTAATGTTGACTATTAAGTGCTGCGATCCATGGTTGATTCACCTGAAAATCTAGAATGACAGGGAAAGCTCGGATAAGGAAGCCCTTTCTGACTTGAGCCAGTGTTACTGAGACTGCTGAAATTTCTATCATCATGAACTTTGCTAAATGGAAGTAGTCAAATTCTCTGCAGTGGCCAATTTCTCAAATTAAAAAAGGTGTACTGGTCAGGTTACCATGTGCTATATTGGTTGAAATGGGGTTATCTTGGAGGAGCCAGAGGAATTGAAGAAGCTAGGAACCCCGGGCCTCTCCAATGCATCTCCTGCACTATCACTACTAAATAAAAATAAGTGATACTACAGGGCATGTTGGAAGGCAGCACAGAAGCCAACTTTACATTTTAAAGGAGATTCGAGATGTCCCCCACCCCAACACGCCAGCCTGATACAGTAATACCTTGGTTTGCGAGCACAATTCATTCCTGGAACAAACCACTCATATTGCAAGACATCACTCGTTTACAACGTTAAAATGTACTTGGTTTGCGAGCATAATTTGTTCCGGAAACAAACTACTCGTATTGCAAGACATTGCTCATTTACCAAGTTAAAATGTATTAGAAATGTTTGCCCATCTTGTGGAGCACTCGCAAACCAAGTTACTCGCAATCCAAGGTTTTGCTGTAGTTTTCTTATCCGAGAGAAAAGACCTTTGCGTCCAGGAGAAAAAAGAAGCCACAAGAGGTTCATTTGCTCATTCAGGGATTCAAATAGCATAACCCAGTGGGGCTTTTGGCCTTACTTGCTATCAGATAGAATTCTCCAGAAAGAATTGTCAGGCAGTCAACTAAACTTTTCCTTGATCTATAATTCCAGAAAGCAAAACTAGTCTGGCATTGACTTGTGCTTGCTCAGCCTCTCAATCAATCGTAAGCTCCCAAGGCCAAAAGCAAGAAGTAATGGGCATCTGAGTTAGTAGGAACAACCACCCTGCTCCAGCCTTGGGGAAACCCTTCCTAATTTGTCAGTGGGACTGAGGGGCTCTTTAAAGGAAAATCATCTGAATAGGCAGAAGCAGAGATGGCCCGACCAGCCGTATAAGGCACTCATTTGTCCAGGAGATGCTCATAAGTCACTGATCCAATCACTGAACCCTCCATCCCTGTCCAGCATGATATAATCACTCTTTGGACCAGTAAATAATGAAGGTTGTGTCTTTTCCACACTCTTTTAAAAAAAGCTTTCCATGAATATTTACTGATGACGACAAAGGCACTTGTACATGAATTTACTGGTCAGTATATGCATAGGATTATGGTTTTATTTTTAAGTGCATTCAGAATTTTCTTCACATTATGAAAATTTCAGACATACAGTAATATGAAAAGCATAATATCATGAACACCTGTGTTCCCAGGACCAAGGTAAAGAATAAAGCATTACCAAAAAAAAAAAATCAAACCCATAGTAACAGATAGTAGAATGGTGGTTACCAGAGCCTCCAGTGGAGGGAAGTGGAGATATTGATGAAATAGTACAAACTTTCAGCTATAAGAAGAATAAGTTCTGGAAACCTTATTTACAGCATGGTCACTATAGTTAGTCATAATATATTTTTTACTTGAAATTTGCTAAGAGAGTAGATCTCAAGGGTTCTTATCATGCACACACACACAATAGTAACTGTGAGAGGTGATGGTTATGTTATTTAGTTTGTGGTAATTATTTCAAAATGTATACATATATCAAAATATCACATTGTATACCTCAAATATATGTAACTTTTTTGTCAAAAATAAAGCATAAAGCATTACAAATTCAATGAAATCTCCCTGAACCTCCTTGAAATTACACTCCTTGCCCTCTTTCAACATTCCCCTTTCCCAGTGCTGTCCACTATCCTGAATTTCGTATTTATCACTCACATACATGTCTTAGTTTATTAATATGTAATTAACATATTTATTAATATGTAAGAGTCCTAAATTATACATATATATTATATATTTACATAACATGTAAAATGTAACTTTATGCAATTTGTTTTCACTATGCAATGTTTTTAAGATGCATACATGTTGATACTGCTCTAATTCATTGACTTCCACTGATGAAAACATTCTATTGTATGACTATATCATAACTCATATGTTATTGTATTATAATTACTTGCTTTCTCATTAGACTCTTAGGATTCATGAGAGTATGGTGTGTCTCATTTATATTCATCACTAAATCCCAAATTCCTAGCACCGGTCTCGGTAAATACTAGACACTCAATAAACTCTTGTTAACTGTTTAACATAAATGTTGACTCTGCTCCTTTAGCTCATATGCCCTAGAGGCACAGTTCGGAATAGCTACATGAGTGAGTTCTAGCCAATGGAATGTGAGCCAAAATGAGGTGTGCCACGTTAAGGCCTGCACTGTAAAAAAAACAAACAAAGAAACAAACAAAACAAAACACTTTATCCATTCCTCTCTGCTCTTTTGCCCTTCTAGGTGGACGGAATGGAGATGACACCTAGGGAAACCCTGAAAGCCAGAAATTCAATATGGCAGAACCTCCATTAGCCAGAGACCCCCAATGACTGTGCAGAAGAGGGCAGCCCTCTGAGCTCTTCACCCAGACTGTACTTTTACGTGAGTAAAAGTTGTGCGTGAGCCATTCTACATGCAGATCATTTGTTATAACCACCAGCCTATTCTAAAGAGTCAAAAATTCTGTATAAATTCACCTCTGAGCTGCGATTGAGCTATTAGTTTCGCGTTCCTTATATATACCATTTTCATTGTTGCTATTTTCTGAGATTCTAACATTTTTGTTGTGATTTGTTCTGTGCATCAAGCTGTTGGGTAGAGGATTTAAAATTTTTATTGCATTTACATTTTCCGGAGGGGATAAATATACGCCTTTTTAGTTTTATAATCAACGACGAGTATTATTATTCAGATATAATGATCAGAACATGCTGTCTGCCCTGCTTCTAATGATTTGGAATGTATTAATTTTTCTTTATGGTCAGTGTAGTGAATGCTTTCTGTGTATTGGAATAGGAGGTAGGGTTTCAGTTTTCAGGGTGTAGCGTTCAACATACATCAATTAGCTGTACTTTATGTTCGGTAATTCAGTCAATTTTCCTTATCGTGGAAGATAGTATTTTCCAAAGATGACCACAGGGATGATGCCCATCCCCCATGCGGTTCTGCAATGAGACTTGCCACTCTCCCATCAAAAGGAGCCTTCTTCTCCACCCCCTTAAATCTTGACAAATCCTGTGATTGTTTTGACCAATGAAATCATGCAGAAATGGCCCTGTGCCAGTTCCCGGCACAGCACATAACGGACCTGGCAGCTTCTGCCTCCTGCCTCTTGGACGCCAGACAGCAGTAGGAAGTGTGACTAACCTGTGAATGACATGCTGTGACAAAGCCCTAGACCATGGGGAGAGACTGACAGCTCCCAGCTTTTCCAGCCACCCCAGCCCAGGAACCAGACATATCAGTGAAGACACCTTCCTTTGATTCTATCCATGGCATCTGATGGCACCCTACTGAGAACCGTTCACCTCAGCTCAGTCAACACGAAGAACTGTCAGAAATAATAAATTATTTTCCCACCTCGAAGTCATCAGGTATCTTGTCGTGCAGCAAAAGATACATCGTTTTGTTTGTTTACATGACATTTCAAGGGCAAAAGAAGTAAATTAAAGGATATCTCTATGATCTATTTATTGCATGCTCTGTTTTAAGTGATCAAGCCACAGTGGACCCCCTCTCACCTCAAAGTGGGTACAAGTGTCAAGATCGGTGACACCACACATGCACCAAAAGGGTTTGAAATGATTTATCACTCGCATCATAAGGCTTTCCAGAGACAGCGGGTGGCTCCCAAGGAGGTCTGCAAATGGCTTGATAGGGCGGGAAAAGGAGAGTGGATAGAAGGTGGGCTGGAGTGGGAGTTTTCCCTGTGTGGGCCAGGGCTCGCGTGGCTGGAACTTCCCACCAGCACTAAAGGAGGTAAGACTTCCTTATCACCTTGCAGAAGGCGAAAGAGGAGTAGTGGGGCTTGAATGCTGTCAGCAGTTCAACAACAACAATGGAGTCAGACTCTTGATCATACCTGTTGGTAGTACAGTGTACATTTTGATGCTATGTTATTTGGTATGTAAAATTCATAGCTGAAAACATGCATTGTTCATTGTTCATTTTCTCATTATGAAGTGCCCTTCATTGTGTTGTTTAATACTTTTGACTGGGATAGCAATATCATAACCTATTCTTATTTTGATTCAGCCACCATTTATGTAGAGTGAAATGCACAGATCTTAAGTGTCGATGTGATTTATTATTTATTTATTATTATTATTTAATTAATATATATGTCCATGTAACCACCAGCACACAGAGCATTTCTAGCACCCCAAAATATTTCCTTTTACCCCTTCCAGTCAATTCCCATCCCTGTTGTCCGTAACTGTTCTCATTTTTGTCCCCATGGATTACTTTTCACTGTTCTTAAATAGCATATAAATGGAACCATACAATCTGTACTCCTTTGTGTCTGTATTATTTCACACAGCATGATTTTTTAAAGCATTTTTGTTAAGAACTATTTCAAACATATTAAAAAGTTGCAAGAGTTTCAATATGAAAACCCATATACCACCCCAACTAGAGTCTACCATTAACCTTTTACTCCACTGGCTTTCTCACATGTCTATGGATCGATACATCTTAGATTTTGATACATATCAAAATTAGTTGCATGTATTATTATAATACAACCTAAACACTTCAGCATGCATATCTTTAACTGTAGTTTAAAATGCCTTTATAGTTGCTTTTTTCCTTTAGTGGTAAATTTTACATATAATGCATAAATATTATGAGTACTATTTGTTGAATTTTGATGAATACATACATCGGTGTAGTCACAGCTTTTAAAGTATAGAATATTACCATCATTCCAGAAAGTTTTCTTATGCCTGTTTTCAGTTAAGCCTCACCTTTACTTGGAATTTCTGAATACTGCTTGTGCTATATCCAACAAAATTTTGGTAAACCCTATTTTAGAATAGCTTTAGATTTACGGATGCATACAACAAATTTTGATAGGTAACTTTTTACCATTTACTTAAAAACATTTTCTCGTTTTACTTTTGATTGCAAAAGACCTTATGTGCTGTGCTTCATGGAGGCAGATGTATTTTTCCTCTACTTCAGTATTTTATAAACCGATGGTTCAGATCCCATTAGTAGACCATAAAATAAATGTAATGGCCTGTAATAAGCCAGCATTTAAAAAGCTAAATGATATGTCCCAAATAGCAGAATGTAAACATATAAGAAAATTAACTGTTGTTTTGTTACATTTTTGTTTCAATTGTGTATGTGTGTGACTATGTGGGGGGTGTGTGTGTGTGTGTGTGTGTGTGTGTGTGTGTAGGTTCATGTATGCACATGCATTTGTGCATATATGCTGGGTTTTGATAAACACAGTATCTCTTCCTATAAAGTTGCAGTGAAAAATACTGAGAAACACCGCTATTGAAAATTGGATTTCATGTAGAATAATATGATTACATTTACATTTTAGAAATACAACTCTGGCAGCAGTTTGTCGGATTGATTATAGGTGGGCAAAAGTACATGCGAGAACAGTTAGAAACATATTATAATCATCCAGACAACAGATGGTTTTAGCGTAAGGGTTTAGAAAGAAAAGGAGAAATGTACCACATAAAGGGACTTTGTCATTGATTGAAATCGGAATTGAGTGAGAAGCCTCGGTGACTCACATATTTCTTGGATGGCTGCATAATGCCATTATTCAGATTAGAAAATAACAAAGAAGGAGCACATTTGCAAGGAAAAACATCCGTATTAGATTGTGGCTGTATTTAGTGCAAGATTTCTGTCTTTGTCTGTTTGGGCTGCTATACCAAAAATACGATAAACTGGGTGTCCTATAAACAACAAAATTTTATTTCTCACAGTTCTGGAGGCTGGAAAATTCAAAAACAAGGTGCCAGCAGATTTGGTGCCTGGTGAGGGCCATCTTTTTGCTGTGCCCTCACATGGTAGAAGGGATTAGGGAGCTCTCTGGAGCCTCTTTTATAAAGGCTGGAATCCCTTTCATGAGGGCCCCACCCTCATGACCGCATCACCTCCCAAAGGCCCCACCTCCAATACCATCACGTTGGGATTAGGTTTCAACGTATGAATTTTTGGGGTCACAAACATTCAGTTTATGACTGAAGGATATGTAGACATTTGCCTATATCATGCCAAGAGAGCTATCTGGGCCAGAAATAGAGATTTGCAAGATATCAAACCATAAGTTATTAAAGCTTGTGAGTAGCTGACATTGTCCAAAGAGTGACTATTATAAGACCAGAGACCTTAGGTTAGAACGCCTTGGAATATCAGTATTTAAGATGTAGGAAACAGAAGAGAGATCAAAATAAGGGACTTGGTTTGAACTATGATAAAAGCAAAGGAGTAAGTTCTGTAGGCTAAGAATATTTCACATAAAAAGAGAGTCGTTGAGTGCCAAATGCTACAAAGAAATCAAATAAAACAGAATTGAATTTAGCAACTAGGAATTGGTGACTTTGGCAAAAGCAGTTTCATTCAATTTTGACAATATCATGATGTTGAAAGCTCTGGCGTTCTGGCAAATGTTTAGCTCTCACAAAAAGTCTGGTATCCATACATACATGTATTTTTAATACGTTTTAATTATATTAAGGATTGTGCAGCGTGCAATTTACAAATACTGATAAAATAGAGAATATTCTTTTTTTGTATCTTATTGTGAATTCTATATAGTCAAATTATTCTCACAGGATGCATTTGTTGATTTTTGCCAAACTCCTGTATTTAGGCCATAATTGATCGATTAGCGTAGTTCTGATATTAACATTGGTTGGTATTTTTATTTATGTTAAGAAGTAAGATGAAAGTGAAACATCAAAGGTGAATATCAAAACTTCACTCATTTTGTCAAGGACGTGAGTGAATTTTTGTACCATTGGATGATAGATTTTGAATATTGGAAAATAGTCTCTTATTTCTGCTATTCACAACATAATGGCTACAAGACAAGAACACTTTTATGTTCAATCTGCATTAAAACTTTCTCTATTGCTTTATTAGATCGAGAAAAGCACCAGAACAGTAAACCAAGCTCTGGTTTGTAGAATTTACTGAATTTCATGGCATAAATATGGCTGATTTCAAGCTACCAACATGACACCACTATGGCTGATTTCAAGCTACCACATGACGTCACTGAATAGGGAGCCTGAAATAGATACACAGTGGTGCTTCATTGTATATTATTTCACCATACAGATACAATAGTACTAATAACCTCAAGGACACAGATAATAGTTAAATGTAGTAAAGGAATGAGGAAGTGATGACTTTTGAGTATTTATTACCTTTCCAAAATACAATTTATTTGATTATAGGTTTATACAATTTATTTCTTAATAATGGCTGAAAAATACCTGAAAATTTAACCATTGGCCCTTGTACTCCAGTAGTACAGGTCAGCACCAGCGAGCCACTGGTTGGAAGAAAAGGAGAACAGTCCTAGATATGAATCATGGCTATGGTCTACCATTGAACCCAGC